GGGCCCGGCCCCGGTACCCTGGGGAGGACAGGGGAGGACAGGCCCGGCCCCGGGGGAGGGGAAAAGGAGGGCCTGGCCTGGTTCTGGGAGTGGGGACAGGCTGGGACTGGACTGGGGTGTGTCTCCTGGGGTGACACAGGCCTGGCCCCAGGAGAGAGGAAAGGGAGGGCCAGGCGTGGTTCTGGTGGTGGGGACTGGAGGGACAGGCCCAGCTCTGGGACTAGACTGGGGGGTGTCTCCTGGGGGGACACAGGCCTGGTGCTGCATTAGTGCCTTGAGTTGCCCACCCTGGTGTACCTGGCACAAGGGCAGAGACCCCTCCCCTCCTCCAGCCCACACCCCAGTAACACAGGGTCTGTTCCAGCCCCTGTTCTGTCACTGCCCTTGGGGACCAGCAGATCCCTGGTCCTCCCTGTGAGGACATGAACATGATCCGTAAGTGGGGGAAGAAGGCCTCCTACCCCAGCTTGTTGGATCCTGAACAAAGTGAGGGTGCGCACGAGAAGGTTACCACAGTCATCCTCTTCCTTCTCCATCCTTTTTCTCCGTGTTGCAGCAGCATTCTTGGGAGTGACGGTGGCTGGAGGCTGTGGAGAGTTTGGGAGGGTTGTTGGCACATTCAGAGGGTCTCAGATGTTGTTTCGATGGCTGTATTCTGGGAGATGTTGGTGAAAACTCGCTGAGTATCTGCCAGACTGCTTGCATTTTGACTGTGGTGGCTCTTTGCAGGTGCTGTGCTTGAAGAAGGGAGCACTGCTAAAGCAGGTGTTTGCACTCAGCAGGTGAGTGCTCTGAAATCAAACCCAGGAGGTAAAACACATTAAAAACACTCGGTCCCTTCTACTGACAGCATCAGAGAACACACATGACAGAAAAAGTACTTTTTGCCAAGGAAAATATTTTAATTGTGGAGGGAAGGATTTCAGCTTGTGTCTGGGAGCAGAAAGGGCTGCAGGAGGTGAAGGAGAGAGAGTCTCTTGGCTAACAGGACCTATCTGTGTCTGAGGGACTTGGGGTGTGAGCCTGTGTTCAAGGAGACCGGCCAGCTGTGCTGTGTTTCCACAGGTGGGTGAAATCAGAGCTTTTAACGATTATCTTCTTTCCTACAGAGCGGCAACACCCAGAGAAAGCTGTCTGTGTGCTGCAGGTAAGGCCTCTTATTAACCCAATCCAAGACAAAAACGTCATTTACCCAAAATAAATATTACACATTTGAGCATTTGCGTCTCCTTTTCATTTTTTTTTTTAGCCAATTTTGGACTGGTTAAATAACCTGAGCAGGTGCTTTTCCATTTACATACCTTTTTCCTGACCCTTTTTTTCTGTTTCCCTGTTCTTGGCTAACCAGATAGTCCTGGTTATAGTACTACACTCTGGAGTGACACCAGCCGGATGTCATTCGCTATATTAATGTCCAGGAACAAACTGTGAGGTCCCACTTTAACATTTATTGATCTGGTGGAGTCCACTACTTGAATTTAAAATAGAATTTGATTTGATATGGAGGCAAAGTGTAACTGAATGGCTTAGATCCTTGGTGTTCAGTTTCTCTTTGCTGTTCTGCTTTGTTGATTAAAATGAGGGTTATTGAGGGTTTCATTTTACCCTGGAGAAGGAAGTATAAATAAAAGCTGATGCTGTTTTGATTTGGCTTCCTGGCACATGAATATTTGAACGGGACTGGATTTAAAATTAAGTGGGGTTCTGATCCATCATGGTAACATCACTGCTGTCGCACAAGAGGAGACAGATGCAACATTTCGTCAGTATCCTCACCATCAGCTGGTGCTGACAACTCTGTCTGGTTTTTATTTGCCTGAGAATTTACTTGGGAAATGCTTTTAATCTCTTCTTCCCTTATTTGTTGCTCACCGTAATCAGCTGTGAGTTGTAATGTGTGATGCACAGCCTGCCTCTGCCTCCTGCCAAAGAACCGAGGGCAAATTCTTGTCCCCAGTGTGGATTTTGGGCTCTCCAAGCACCTGTGTATGTTTGTTTAAGGAAGGATTGTCTGCCATTCAGCTGGAAACGTGTTTGCTCTGCTTTGATCTTAAGGTGATGCGCTCCTGAGTTGCCACAGACACTACAGATCTCGTCCTACGCATGGTATCGGGAGGTTTAAATACCTGCTCCCAAAGGAGGTAGGCATCAGAACTCCCCTGCTGTGCTTGCTTTCAGCAGACTCATCTTTTTACAGCCTGATTTAAATGTTGGAATTGTTAATTCCATGGCTGATGAATCATATTAAAAAGGAATAATGCGATTATTTACTGCCGCTTCTCTCAGTAAAGAGCGTTATGTCACACGACATGCCCACTCACAACATTGCATATGGACTTTATTTTATCTGTTATGTTATTGGTTTAAGTTAATGAGTAGTTTGGGGAGGGAGGAATCTCTTCCTGATGCTGAATTTAACACCCCAACTTCAAATTATTGCAGAATATTCTGATCAGATCTTATTTGCATTTAAACATTTTTCCATTCCCTGAAATTTGGAAAGATGACAATTTTTGTGGAAAGGAGGAAACAATAACTCATCTAGACAGCTGCCTCGAAGGCAGGAACTGAAATGGAAAAGCAGTTTGTTTTCTATTCCTTGATTTCTTCTGGAAGAAATTAATCATGGTGTGCATGTATTTTCTGTGACTGCTGCGGTGCTGCCATCCAAGAACTGAACTGCTCAACTCGGGAACATCTGCTAAGATAATGTCATCCAAGTTTTGTAGGCAGGGAAAGTGAGCACAGATGGGCTGTGATGTGTTTGACCGAGTTCAGCAAACCTTTGTCAGAGGAGAATACCCTCACATGGTCTCCTCTGTGGGCAAGAGTTAATATTTTTTTATTTCTAGCTTTCTTCAAAACAGATATATTTTCTGTTTTTTCTTTTTTTTTTTTTTTTTCCAATACAGACTCCAAAAAGGAAAAAGGATAAAGTACAGATGAAAGAGATAAATGTTGGAACCGAATATGAGTATGGAGATATCAACATCCAGATGACTTCCTATGATTTGTGTCTCGTGGAGCATTTTGCTCAGTACGTGCACAGACTTTGCAACCGTCTCTCCATCAGAGTGAACGAAAGGTAGGAGGAACGCAGCTCTGTGCTTGTCATCCCTCGCAGTCTCGCAGTCACGTTGCATTAGGCCACGAGTCTCCTTGCGGACAAGAGCACAATCTAATCTCTCTGATAGTTTCCCAGACGTAAATCCAAATCTTCTGTCATCTGCCTGCTGTTCTCTTTTTGTGTGCCTGTTTGGTTTTGGATGCTTTATTCATGCAGAAACTGAGTTCTTCAGGCACTGACTGAACAGATATCGAGGAAAAAAGAAAAAAAAAAGCTGTTAGTTTTCATTCCTTTGAGAGAAAGGCTTAAGCCTGTAGGTGCTGATTACAGGAGCGTGGGCTTAAGTGTTGCTGACTTTGCTGCTTTTTAGGGTTTCATCCAGGCTCTGGGCATATATTGTGCAGTAAGCAAGTGATACTGATTATACAATCTTGGGAAGCCCCTGAAGCTTGTGGGAGAGCTACACGCTGCTTTAGTTTAGTAGCAGAGGATGCTTCAGTTGCAGATGGACCCCTGACAGCGGTTTTGCTGATTTGAATGAGTCTGAGGAACGTGATAGAGCCCCCTGATGCCTGCAGCACACCCAAGGAGCTGTTGTCACTGGGAGAAGCGCTGTGTCGCTGTAAGGAAGTAAAACCACTTAGCGGTGATATCTGGAATTTGTATCTTTAATGTACCTCCGAGAATAAACACTGGTTCCTGCTCGTGTCGATTAAAAAAAAAAAAAATTTCTTTACATTCATCCACTTTGCTGAGCTGTCAGCCGTGGATCTGAAATTCTGTGCCCATAGATCAGTCGCTTGTAGTCTCTCTGGCATGTCTTTTGTACCAAACAGCACTAAAAACCAACGCATCGGTGACTGATAGGTGTTTGTTTCGAGAAGGATGCCCAGTGACACTAAGAAATCACAATTCTGGCAGAGCAGCAATGCACTGGAAAGGATTCGCAGAGAAATCCCGCGGCCTGAGACCGTCAAGAGCAGGCGTCAAGCGTTATTACCTTGTATCATACTTGTGCCCTCTGAGGTCAGACTTTGCGTGCAGAGTTCAGGATGTACAGAAAGAAATTATTTGCCCTTTAAGAGCCAAATTTGTAGGGTAAAACGTGGGCAATAGGATGGAGCCTGTTGTTATTGATGCTGTGCAAAGGGAGATGGGGAGGCTGGGGTCTCTGGAGTTACCGGAGAGCAGAATCTGATCCGGTGCCTGATGGTACCGGTAAATTCAGAGGTGAGAAGAACATCTTTGAGCGGTGTGTTGTCATTTTTAGCTCTTTTCCCAGTTAGAACAGATAGATTATTAGAAAATCACTCAGAACTGTTTCTTTAATGCTCTCCTTCAGCTATAAAGAAGTTCAAAGTTTTCTTCTCAGGCTGCTGTTTGGAGCTGAAGCAGGTTTCTCCTGGCAGTAATGCTGCAAGCTTCTCCCTTTCTCTCTTTCCAGTAAAACACCCGACTTGTGCCAGTGCTTGATTTCCAAGATACATTGTTTGCATAATTAATTTTCTCATGAAAAGTTAATCTCTTTCCACATTCTCTGCTGCTGGAAGTTGATTCATTCCTGTAAAGTAGTGCAAAATTTATCCTCCCTGTCCTGACCTGTGCTTCCTGCAGCTACGCCATGCCCACCAAAACCAACGAAGTGCTGTTCTTGGAAGAGCGAGGTTCCAAAATGCAGCTGGATGCGGTCCTTACTACCCACCAGAGGGTTGTGCAGGTATGAGCTGGCGTTTGCTGATAGCGCTGCGTGTGCAGCACCTCCTATCTCAGGCTCTCAAAACCCCTTCTCAGTTAAAGTCCCTTGAACAAGTGAAGTGCAAAGAAGTTTAATTAGATTTCTTGCTAAGCATTACTCACCAAGTAGAAGCAGAGGAGGGGTTACTGGATTATATATGTCAGCCAGAAGATTTGTTATCTATTTTGTGTGGAATGCTTGATACAAGGGATAGAAAAGTCATGTTTAAGGATGAATGATGGGACAAACTTGATGAAATTTTAAAGTCCTATTAGTATCAGGGACAGCTTCAAAAGTATACAGCTGAATAAATAGTTGTAAATAGTATTTTCTCCTGCCTTTTTCCTAGTTTATAGTGTCTTCCCTTGCTATGTTCTAAACCTCGAGGAGGTTTTTTCCTGTATGGGGGGTGAGGCAGTGGCCCAGGTTGTCCAGAGAAGCTGTGGATGCGCCATCCCTGGAGGGGTTCAAGGCCAGGCTGGATGAGGCTTTGGGCAACCTGGGCTAGTGGGAGGTGTCCCTGCCCATGGCAGGGGGTGGAACGAGATGATCTTCAAGGTCCCTTCCAACCCAAACCCTTCTGTGATTCTATTTTAAACCTAGAGGTAGACTTTTTCCACTGGAGAGAGCTGATGTGTGGTTAACACTGGGGCTTGCAGGTTTGCCGCAGCAGCCTTTGTATTAGATTTTCACCTAAATTAAGATCTTAGTGCGTGGTTAAATCTCTTTACGTGCAGGCAGGGACAGGAAGCACAGTGTTCGTAGAGAAGAGCCGAACCGAGCGCTTTGGGCTGTGTGTGCTGTATGCGAGAGGCGTGCTCACGGAGCAGAGTGTGCTTCTGTCGTGAAGTGTTTGGCTGCCGTGGGTTCATGCTGAAACGAACTCTCTTCCTGTGCCGTTAGTATGAGTCCATTTTGTACGTGGTGTTCTGCTCCTGCAGCGCTTTATTTCTTCTTTCAGATCACCGGTTTGAGTTCAACGTTTGCTCCGATACTCTTGGAAGTTATTCAGAGTAGTCAGCCTGAAGGGGTCCATCTGTTAGTGAAAGAGGTACGTTCAATTTTACCAATACCTTTGCTTTTAGGAAGCAGATGTGATGCGTGATGTGAATTTGTTTTGAAAATACAGATCTGGTCCTGAGACTATTGTCTACTCTAGACTTACGGATACCCAGCATCTCCCAGAACCAAGTCCTCACCATTACCTCTAATTCTTGATGAGCATTTCATTTTCCATCTAGCCTCCTATAATTAGTGCCGCAGAAGGGACCTTCCCAGCCAATCCCTTGGATCTGTAGGAGATGACAGGTTGCACGTTGCTTTCCTTTGCTGCCGCAGATGCCCTGCGACTCGGAAGGGAACGCTTTCCTTCAGCGTTCCCTGAGATCTGGGGCTCCTCAGGAACTTCATGGGGCAGTTGGTAGCAAAGCTGAGAATAGAAGCCCAAATGCCGTGCCCTGTTTTGATGGAATTTGCCCTGGGTGGGGTTCAGCTTGTTTCCTGCAGAAAGGTCAACAGTTTTCTCAGCATTAAGGGCTTCAGGAAATAACTCGCTGGTGGACCAGGAAGAAGGAGATATTTAAATTTCTGTTGTTTTACATTCAGGCGAAGCAGTGCCAGGAAGACCTTTTTATTCAGGGACGAAAAGACTTTTGTGGCTGGAAAGGGAAGGCAGCACACTGAATTCAAACATAAAAACACAGTTGGCTTCTTAAGTGGCCTTTGAAGAATGTTTAGTTATCTCCAGCTCTGCAAAACCAAAAGGAATATGGGAGAAGGTCTTTTGAGTCCAGTAATCTTCTCTGCTTTGGTCACAGTCCCATGTCTGCCTTAGGGCATTATTTTTTTTCTAATTTTGGCTGATGGCTTTGTCTCTGGAGGGAGAACTGTGACATTGTGCCATTTGCAAAGTCATTGCAGTCTGATGCAGGAAGCCCAGGGGAGAGACCCAGGCTGGCTCCATACGACTGGCAATGCAGAAGAGAGATTAAAGCTTTGGGATGGTCCTCCCAGGTTCTGGAGAAAGTGGCAGGTCTCCTCAAAAAAAAAAGAAGATGCTACAGTGAGAGGCAGTGGCAGAGCTGGGGGCGTCCAGTTGACTTCTTGAGCGCAATGCCACTGCTCACTCTTCCAAGAGCAGTTAGGCAGGTGTCGTGGTTTGACCCTGGCTGGCAGCAAAACGCCCCAACAGCCACTCACTCACCCTCCCCCCTCCTGGGGATGGGGAGAGAATTAAAGGGGTGACGGGGAAAGAGACTCGTGGGGTGAGATAAGAACAATTTAATAACTAACTACAATAATATTGGAAATAATTATTATTATGCCAGGCATGGGATGGAACAGACCATTGGCCAGTTTGGGTCTCAGTCCTAAACCTGAGGTCGAATCCTGGGCTGGTCACTGGGGCTGTGCTCCCTCCCGGTCCCCCCTGCCCCTGCAGACACGGGCACAGCAGAGAAGCTGGAAACCCACACCGACAGCTGCTCCTGGATGTGAGAGAGGAGACTCAGAGCTCTGCCACCAGCTTCCAGGTTGAGCTGCCCGTGACATCCTTCCCTGCAGCAACTTTCCACTGAGGCTTCCCACTCCCTGCCTTCAGTGGACATGAACTTTTATTTTTCCACTCTTTAAGTGGAAATTCTCTTTGGGAGATGGTTTGCCTTCCTTTTGATTTCAAAAAGCACTTGAGGTGATTTTGATTTACTTGAGTGTTTTTTTTTTCCTCCTTCCACAGCACACAGAAGCTGACTTCAAGAGCCGATTAAAGTCTCGACCAGAACTTGAAGAGCTGCTAGCGCAGATGAACTGAGGAAGAACGCTCCATCCGTTCCAGAGCCACCCCTGGGAAAGCGAGGTGGCTTCTTCATGGCTGCTCGAGCCTCCAGAAGGCGACGTTGTGAGCACATACTGATAATTTGGTGAATTGGAAGAAATTCCCACTCTTACCAAGCAGCTTTTCTTAATAAAGACAAATAAATGTTTATATCTGACTGAAGGGGGTCACAGCGAAATGTGAGGTTACTTTTCTCAATCCCTTTTTTTTTTTTTTTTCTTTTTCCCCCTGCCTGGTTTTGCTTTTGGTATTTGAGAATTTCTGCAAGTTTTAATCTGCAGAAATCTCTGCAGGTTAATAATGCTGGTCTGCAGCTCTGCTAGACGCTCTTGAAGTGCCCATCCTGCTCCTTTCTTCAGCTCAAGGCTGGAGCGATGCGTTATTTTCCGAGAGCTGCTTAAATCAGAGCTTCACCAACACGAATGGAGCCTCAGAGTCCGGGGAGAGTGGGGAATGATCATCCCCGAGCAGTTTAACAGAAAAAAAGCCTCAGAGGGCAGAGGCAGGAAGGTTGGAGCTGTGTCAGGCGGCGTATGCACAATTTCTCCTTACATTCTGATTTGCCTTTCAAGCCATAAAGGAGAAACTTTCTCCTGGATCCTTGGAGTCAATCTACTTTTTACAAAATCCCTTTGGAAAGGGAGAAATTATTTGTGTCTTGAAAGGACAAATTCCAGAAGTGGTGTGGGGAATGTCCCAGGATGGTGCCAGAACCTTTTCCCAGCTCTGTTGCTTTTCTCCAGGGACGTGGGACCCAGGATGCCCCAAATTCATCCGGGCTCCTCAAAAATTTATCGCCATCCTGCAAAACCCAGAGTCTGCAGGAGCTGTGGCTTCTGGGTGCTGGGTTGGATGGGTCGCGGCGCCTGGGTTTTTGCTCCAATCCTCATTCTTTCAAATTCTGTTTTAATTTAGGCTGGAGCTGAGATGACACCTGATCGTGTCATGCTAGTAGGAAGTAAGTTATAACCAAATTTTAACCAATTTTGCTCAGATGAGGTTCTGTCCCTGCATCAAAACTACTTTGAGGTTTTTTCCCCCCTTTAAAACCACCACCTCTTTAAAAGAGGAAAAAATAACTCATGAGCACTCTCCCCCAAACTGGGGCAGCTCCAGGGTTGCTGGATATTCGCTCATGGTCCCGCGCCGGTTGTAATTTTTGCCCGGCAGCGCCGAAACCCAGCCCCTCGGCAGTCCCTGCACCCACCTCCCTGGGACCCAGCCTGGAACTCTTCCTCCAGCAAAACCCACGAGCATCATTTCCTTTTCAGCCTACAAAAAGCGATTTGATTTTATTTTTCATAGTTTATTTGCCAGGAGGTGGTGTTCAGATGAGCATCCCACTCCGTAACAGGCGCTTTTTTCCCCCAAAATCCTGTCCCATGGGACATGAGGTTATCACTGCTGGAAAAAAACCTTGGGATGGTGCAGGGAAGGACACGGAGTGGAAATCCTGTCGCACCCAGGCTGGGTGCCACAAATGCTCCCAGTTTGGGACATTTTGGGCTGGAAATCCTCATCTCACCCCATAACCATCCCCTCTGAGCTCCCGGTTATCCCTGTCGGCACAGTCGGAATGCTTCAGCCAGGATGACGAATGCCACCAGATTTAATTCCCCAATACAGTGTGGATTTACCAGCACCTTCACGCACTTGAATTAAAAAATTAACACCAAAAAAGCATTGAATGGCGCAGCTGCCCCACTCCTGGGGTGCTGACGGTGGGCTGGCCGGC